TAATTTTCATATGTTATTAAATGAATAGATACATTCAATATTATAAGTCTCATATGAATTAAAAGAACCAATTATTTTAATAACATATCAAATTATATAAAAAAATAAAACAAAGTGATTGTCCCAATAACATTTTCCATATATATAATTGTAGAAGTGTCCTTGTACATGGACTTTTGATGAACTAATCCAAATTTTCCAATAATATTCTAGAGACGTTTAAATTCACTGCACCTATGCGGGACAAGGAAAATTAAGGAGTACTTTTCTTGTGGGATTAGTCATACATAGACATTTTCATTTTGATTGTCAGCTGCTATTAAATGAGAGCAACAAAAGGTTCAAAATCTCCCACGAGGGCCGGCAGACGCAGCTTTTGACAATGTAAAACCAAAAGAGAGGGATATGAAGCAGAAAATTGCCATTTAATTGCTTGAACGAAACTAATTTTACACATCCTCCCACGTTTTCAATTTGTCCAAAACACAACTTTTCCAGGGAAAACATTTCCAAATGGAAACTGGAATCCTTTTTTTTCCTCAGTTTTCTTACTTCAGGAGGCGCCGTTTGTTTGGCCAAAAGAAACCCCTTTTCTTTTCCATGCGGAGAGACTTCATCTTTTTTTTCTTTTTTTCTTTTTTTCTTTTTTTCTTATTTCTTTCAATTTAATTTTCTGTGGTTAGGTGGATTCCAATTCCAAGTCCAACCCATGAGTTTGGCTAAACTAGAAATTAAGAAGACCTAATTGTCAAATTTGGGCAGACGAATCCTTTTCCCACTTGGGTTTGATGGTGAAGTTTCCATTGAATGAAGAGTGTGGGGGAATCATCAGTCATGGTAAAGAAAGGACGCTAGTGTATGGTCTTTTTCTGCAAGTTTTTCAAAAGAAACAATAAATGCAATCCGAGGAAAGAAAAGCAAAACTTGTCCCTACGTCGTTGAAAGAAAGACACTATGCGCGTAAAATCAGTGTCCAAACTCTTCTAACTTAGTTTACCGTCATTTGTAAACTATCTCATTTATAAGTATTAGGTAGATTTAAAGCCTTTTTGGTCTAAGATATTGTTACAGTTTTTTTTATTTTTATTGTGATTCATCTTCATTGTTTTGTAGTTCTCAAAGTCTAGAAGGTTTACAAAATTAAAGGTTTCGTGATGATTCTGATGAAGAAACATAAGGGAAGACCTACCCAAGTAATGAATTTGGACTTTTTTGGAGTAATATATATAAGGTTGTTAGACCTGGCTAGGTTTTTTTTTTTTCTTTTTTTTTAATGGAGTACAGGTTTAGTTCATTTTTAGTTTGCGGTGAAGGGAGAGTTGGTAAGTCGAGCAAAAGCACTTTTGAAATTGTTAAATTGCAAGAGCAAATAAAATTTAAAAGAAAAAAATCTTCATAAAGTTATCTTGATCAAATAGCTTGCACGCATAAAATAAAATTCATGACAAATTATTTTCTCATGACTTTCTCATAAATTAATTGAATGTCAAGCAACAGAGTGCGGATCCCTTAGTAACTAAGCTAACTTCTTTAATTAGGCTATTGCTCTTCAATTTCGAACGTTTTACATTATTCATTCGTTAAAAGCAAATTTAAAGACAAAGACACCTTAGAACTTTCTCTAAAGGACTGGAATTTCAATGATCGATGGTTAAATACTTTATTGACATAAAATGTTCTAGCGTGTTATATTTAGGAAAAAAAGAATGAGATTGAAAAATGTAGCAAGTTTGTCCAATTACTTGATCCTTCTAGTTTCTACACTTTTTTCTAATCCTTTATGACAATCACATACCTTCTATAATGCCGACCTAATACATATATATATATACAATAACTTAAGAATTTGATCAATGTTTTAAAATTTAGACTATATTTTTTTTTTGATATGGATTACCCGATATCCAGAAACCCACTGAACTATGAACTAATCTGAATTTGAATTGAATAGGACCTAACGAACAATAAAACTCTCCCTTATAAGGTTTAACGGAGCTGCATTCTTAGAATTTGAAATTAAGACCTCTGATTAAGTTGAAAAAGTTTTTTACCAACTCATCCACCCGCTCGTAGGTAAATTTAGACTATATTAGATTACAAAATATTATAATCATTTGATGAAAAAATCTTCCTTTAATATCATAAACGGTTCCATCTTAATTTAATAATTAATATTTTATAATTTAATATAATTCTAATGTATAAAATACATTTTTAATATCTTAACTCAAAATCAAAACAATAAATAGTCACTCTATATAGTGATGCGCCTCACTAAATGAAAAAGTCAATACTAACTCACAGGACTCTGAAAATTTAAAATTATTTGTAAGTCATTTTTCCTCTACATTTGTTCTCGATGCTTCAACTTTCTTGGTTGTGGCATAAATAATCTATATCTTTGTTGAGTAAATCGAAGAGATAGATATAATATGATCTGCATAAACTACCCAAAAGATATTATATAATAGTAAGATAGATAAATAAATTTTAAAAAGGAG